CTCCCAATGCAGGGGGCCCAGTTCGATCCCCAGTCAGGAAAATAGATTCTGCATGCTGCAACTAAAGACCCCTCATGCCACAATGAAGATCCTGCATGCTGCAACTAAGACCCGGTACAACCAAATAAGTAAATAAACAAATAAATAAATAAATTTTTTTTTTTAAAAAAGGAACTAGGACATCGGCTTTCTTCCTGCCTTCAGGCTCAAACTGAAACATTGGCTCTTCCTGGGTTTCAAGATGAAACTGCACAATTCAGATGGGACTTGAACCCAAGGGGTGGGACTTAAACCCAGTGGGTTTTTTTTTTTTTTGACGGCGCCATATGGCATGTGGGATCTTAGTTTCCTGACCAGGGATCGGACCCGCGCCCCCTTCAGTGGAAGCCTGGAGTCTCAACCACTGGACTGCCAGGGAAGTGCCCCCGCCAGTGTCTGTTTTAAGAAAATATATAAATTTCTTTATCTTAATTTTATTTTTGGCTGCATTGGGTCTTCGTTGCTGCGTGCGGGCTTTCTCTGGTTGTGGTGAACGGGGGCTACTCTTCATTGCTGTGCGTGGGCTTTCTTTAGTTGCAGTGAGCGGGGGCTACTCTCCGTTGCGGTGCGCGGGCTTCTCGTTGCGGTGGCTTCTCTTGTTGCGGAGCACGGGCTCTAGGCACAGGGGCTTGAGTAGTTGTGGCACGCAGGCTCAGCAGTTGTGGCTCACAGACTCTAGATCGCAGGCTCAGTAGTTGTGGTGCACGGGCTTAGTTGCTCCGCGGCACGTGGGATCTTCCTGGGCCAGGGCCCAATCCTGTGTCCCCTGCAGTGGCAGGCGGATTCTTAACCACTGTGCCACCAGGGAAGTATTCCCCCCACACACTGTCTTTTAACTGAGATCACACAGCAGGTCTCAGATCATAATGAAGCTCAGGTTCTTTATGTCTCATCGCAGAAAGAATTCAGTGAGAGACAAATTGATAGGTAAGAAGTGGATTTATTTAGAGAGAAACACACAGTCCACAGAGCGTGGACCCTCAGAAGGCGAGAGGCTCCGAAATATGGGGTGATTGGTTTTTATGGGTTGGGTAATTTTATAGGCTAAAGAGTGGGAGGATTATTCCAACTATCTTGGAGAAGGGGTGGAGATTTCCAGGAATTGGGCCATTGCCCACTTTTTGGCCTTTTATGGTCAGCCTCGGAGCTGTCATGGCACCTGTGGGTGTGTCCTTTAGCATATGCGAATGTATTACAATGAGCATAGAATGAAGTCTACTGGAAGTCAAATCTTCTGCCATCTTGGACCTAGTTGGTTCTAACCAGTTTATGTCCTATCCTCAAGGGCTATGTCATTCTTTTACACGTTGTGCCCTCCCCTTCCCTCCTGTTTCAGAGCTGCCAGCCTTCAGACAACAACTACACCATCAGCTGTCCTGGTACTCATGGCTTCAAACTTGGACTGGAACTAAACATTGGCTCTCCTGGGTCTCCAGTTTGCCAACTCATCCCGAAGATTTTGGGGCATGCCTACTTCCATAATCATGTCTTTGTTTTAGCCTTCTAGCTTGTTGCCCTACCATTCACAACACAGCACTTCCATCTCAGTGTAAGATGGACACACCAATGCCCAACACATCCCTACACCAGGAAGGGAGAGACTGAAAGGGATGTCATCCTCCTTGCCTTTTAAGGCCATAACTCAGATGCTGCAGACATCCCACTGGCCAGAAACCATTTACATGGCAAGAAACTGATTGCAAGGGAGCCTGGGAAATGTAGTCTTTAGCTGTGCAGCCATATGTCCAATGAAACTTCCCTATCAGAGGCGAATAATTATTAAGGGGACATCTAGGCATATCGGCCACACGATCAAATGATTGAAACCAAGCAAGCAGAGGGCTGAATGGTTTCACATTGTGGTGATAGCTGAATGATAATGTAATGGGACTTGGAATAGGCAAACAATAGAAAACTCATTTAACTGATTTCTAATCGCTCAATGTTCTGAAATTTCTACCAATTTGCTTATGTGCTCAGAGTGAGAGTTATTAGTGTCATAAACCCAATATATCCATCTTCATATTCTGGAATGTGGTAGAATTGAACTTCCCAGACTCTCTTTGGTTCATTCAAGTCACATGACTAGTTTTGGCCAATAAATTCTAAGAGATTATGTATGTCATTTTTGTGTCAGAACATTTAAGTACTGGTACAAGAGCTTCCAGGGTGTTCTTCCTTGGCCACACTTGACCGGCAGGACTCCAGATGGTAGTGGCTCTGTCAGCCTGCGTCCCAGACATATACAGCCCAGAACCCTCAGTCAATATATAACACAAGTGAGAAAAAAAACCTTGTTATGCTAAGCTGAGATTTGGGGTTGTTTGTTACTGCAGCATAACCTAACCTATTCTCACTGTTATAGAAAAATATGAAAGTTAGATCTTTCCTAGAGCACAGAGTTAACCCTAATTGGTTGGCCAAGCACCCACATATAGCCCCCCTCCAACTGCTTGTAATTTGGGTGGGAATGATCTCCTACCCCTTCCACACAGAGGGGCATATGACCCGGGCTTTGCCAATAAGGCCACTGAAATACTTGTGAACGTTCCTGTTGAAATGACTCTCTATACCTTAATGGAGGCCTGGCGCTTCTGGAGGCCTGACCTCAAAGTGAAGGGCCAATCAGCTAACATCTATAGAGAACCTGCTGTGTACTAGGGCCTGTTGTATACCATCCCATTTACTCCTCACCGGAGGGTGGATAGTGTGGTATCTCCCCTTTACTGATGAGGAGACAAAGGCAGAGAGAGGCTAAGGGAGGGTGCAGTTAGGGACACCTCCTACCCATATACTGTTCCCTGCCCGAGGTCACACAGGCTGAGGCAGGCAAACTGTGGATTTGCTCACACACTTCTGCTCCAGGAGCTTGTGGGAAATGTGATCCTGACCGCCCGCCCCCACACATGCTTCCACCCAATTTATGCTCTAGTGACCCCTTGGATGGTGGGCTCTCTCCAGCTCCCATCAAACCACCACTGCCAAGATCTCTGTGGAGGGCTTCCCTGGTGGCTCAGTGGTTGAGAGTCCGCCTGCTGATGCAGGGGACACGGGTTCGTGCCCTGGTCTGGGAAGATCCCACATGCTGCGGAGCGGCTGGGCCCGTGAGCCATGGCTGCTGAGCCTGTGCATCCGGAGCCTGTGCTCGGCAATGGGAGAGGCCACATCAGTGAGAGGCCTGCGTACCGCAAAAAAAAACCAAACAAACAAACAAAAAAACAATGTAAGAAGCATCCTGGGTGACTAGAATGGGTTTCCTTAGATATGGGAGTCAAGGACAGGCTCCCAGAGACATAAGTTGTATAGACATGTCCATTTAATAGCAATAACAGCTATTACTTGCTAACCTCAAATTTCAGCCCAGAAGCTATGCCACTCATGTGTATTATTATTTTCAGATCCTTCAAAGGATGCTGGAAAGCTGCTACCATTTTATGCCCATTTTCCAGATTGGGTCACTAAGGCCCAGCTCCCAGTTTTCCAAGAGAAGCAGAGAGGCCGTGGCTAATGTTTGCAAAGGT